AAATTCACAGACACTGAGAGAGGAGTGATCAAGTTTAAGGGTAACCTGTTATTCACTCATTTCAATGAGATTAGTGTACCACTCCCCACCGCTCATCATACTGAGGGTATTAATCTTGGTGCTGTTAATGATCCTAATGTATATGTGATGGATGAGGACTGAGGGAATGGAGTGAAAGGCACTGACAATTATTTTATTTTTTTGATTATTGTAGTTCTGCTTAATGTGTTAATTTTAATTATATCAAATACTTGAGTGTGCACATATTGATAACAGAGAGTGCTGTAGTACATTAATTTACTGATTACAAATATTCGTATTGATTATTAAATTTTGTTTTTTAATTTTAAGAGTTTATTTTTTAATAATAATTTTATCAAAATATTAAAAATTGAGCATAATACTTTTATGCATGGATCATGTGCAAAATTATAAAAAGCAATTATTACATCATAATATATATAAGTAACAGCAACAGCAATAATTGGTAAAAAGAGAAGGTAGAGAGAAAGAGAAAAAAGTACACACATTTAAATACAATACATGTACATACAAGTATGTACACATCAAGTACAAAAGATGTAGAATGTGATGCGTTAAACTAATGTTAGAAACCATTGAAGGAATGATCCCTTGTCAAGCAAAGGTAATATAGTAACAAAATAAAATAACCATTTGTAGAAACCATGCATTACAAAAATGAATGCTGTAATATTAAAGTTATGATAATGATACTTTATTTGTTGTAATGTTTGCATGGTGTTAGAAATAAGGAAATTAAGGTAGAGCAGATGTTGACCAGAGAGCAAGAAAGGAAGATGTGTGCCTTATCAAGTATAGAAGAATGAAAGTGAAGTCATTTAAAACATGATTTTCATTCCTTATTATGCCTCATCTTCTTCTACTTTGATTCTTTTAGTGCTGTGAGGTTCCTCAATACCTGCACCTGTCGTTGTTCGCTTTGAAACCTTTCTTCTTTGCTCTTCCACCACATCAAGAATCATATCATGATGGACCTTTTCAAGATACCTAACTATTGATGAACCAGGACTAGTGGCCTGAGCTACATCAATATCATGTTGACGAGGTTTTAAATTATATCTTTCAACTAAAAACCGAACTAGCTCTAAATTAAAACTCATACTAGCAAAATAAAGTAGAGTTTTCATATCTTCAGTTTCAGCTAGTACATTACATTGGAGCTCAGTTAGAAAGTATTGTACTAACTCCATACTACCACCTTCACATGCTCCATGAACTGAAGTGTATCCATTATTATCAGGATCATCAGGAGTACAGGGGAAGGTCTCTATAAGATAGCGTGCCATATGAGTATTATCAGAACGAGAAGCATAATGAAGAGGAGTACGACCAGACTTGTCTTTAGGTACTGGATTAGAGACAATGTTTGGTTCCAAATACTGGTATACAGCAATTTTTGCTCTCACTGCAATATCCATTATCATTCTCAATAAAAAAGATTCAAATTTTTTCATTTCTGTTAGTAAGTGCAAGCAAGTGATACCATCATCATCTTCCAATAAAGGATCTTGTTTATATTTCTCAATTAACTCTTTTACTATCTCAATATCTCCTCCCTCACATGCTGCATGAAGTAAACCACGTCCTCTATTATCCATTGCATTAACACCTTGAGGATAAATACTGGATAAATAACGAAACACATCAATATGGCCATTACTACAAGCTGTATGTAATACAGTGGACCCTTCATTATCAGTAGCTGTAAGGAGATCATGATGAGTAGAACTACCAGTAACTGAGGACAGTAAAACTTCAGCGGTATCCTTATGACCAGAGGCAACTGCTAAGTGTATTGGTGTCTGTCCTTTCTTGTTAGTAATTAATAAGTTATTGTTAGACAGACTGGCTTCTTGTAATAGTGATGCCATATTCTGTTGTCCATCTTGACAGGCTAAATGTAATGGAGTATTACCGTCTTTATCTTGTACATTAATAAGTACAGCATTGTGTGGATTATTGTATATGTCATGAGGACTGTCTAATAAACACTTTATCTCACGTAACCAGACAACACTCATTGAGGGTATACTCTTACTCAGTAAGTACTCTAATACATCAAGTTGGTCCACTGCTACAGCTAAATGGAGTGGTGTACGGTCTTGATGATTGGTTGCATTAGGATTGCAATAATAATTATCAATGAGGTACTTCAATATATTCAAGTGACCCCTCTCTACTGATATGTGAACTGCTCCAGACCCTTCATCATCAGTAGCTGATAGATTACACTTCTTACTAATAAGATATTTAATAACTTCTAACTGATTGAAGTAGACAGCAGCAAGGAATGGAGTATGACCTTGCCCTCTGGTAGGTAGTTCAAGTGATGATGGTATGTGTTTTATAATGTACTGGGCAAAGTTCAATCTTCCCTCACTACATGCTAAGTGAATAGGAGCCATTCCCTCATCATTCACAGCACACAGATCTAACTCATGATTCTCTACCAGATGTTTGAGTATAGGAAGAGAGTCACTGTACTCACAGGTAATGTGAAGAGCTGTTGATCCATTAGAAGTCTTAGCTGCTATATTACACTGAGGAAGACTAGTGAGATAAAGTACAACAGGAACATGGCCTCCTTCACATGCTTCGTGAAAAACTGTACTACCAGTATCAGTAGTAGTGGCATTAACATCACACTGATACTTGTTGATCAGTTCCTGTAGACAATGTAGCTTACCATTATAAGCAGCTGAATGAGCTAGTGTGTACTTGTTATTCTCAGTGTGATTAGTAATATCCACACTATACTCCTGACTGTACCA